TTGCACTCCATGGGCTCACTAGCTCTGTGAAAGGTGCCTGCTGTGCCTCTCCAGGGTTGAGGCCCACGGTGGCCCTGACTCTGTTATATACAAGGATAGTCAGAGCCCTTTACTCACAGGACATAGACAGTGTGGCAGGAGAAGTCCTTTTCTGGTTGTTTTTGTTGTAAAACAAGCCTTGACAGGTAGAGAGAGAATGATGAATCCTGGCATGGGGAGGAGTGTGCTGGGAGGCAGCTGGTACCCTGATAGGAGGTCAGAAAGCCCGAGGAGAGGTGTGGTCCCAACCTTTCTGGCAATTTCCTCAGGTGCCAGCAGGGATGTGGTCCTCCCCTGGCTTCCCTCAGAGGCTGTGGTGAGTTACAGGGACATAAGTAAATGCTTTGTAACCTGGATAGGGACATGTGGAACCAAGATGCAGTTTTCATGTGACACTCACACCCCTAGACATCACCTCAAGTCCTGCTTGAATCCAAAGGGGGGTCTCCTTGCTGTTCTCCCACACAGGAATCCTCTTCCATTTGGTATCACTTGGCCTTAGGAGGACCTGTGCTATCAATTATGGACTTTACATTGAATAATAATTCAATTAAAGGTGTTTTTTTTTATTGAACATCCTTGATACTTTTATTGGTATTATTAGAATAGCTGCCATAATAAGGAGGAACAATTATTTAAATGCTCATAAAAAATCCTACTGCAGAGGAAAAGTCACATTTCATTGCAGGAGTCCGGTTGTGTGTTGGTTCCCACACATCACAATAAAAAAATGATGTTTCCTCAAGGTTTGCATGTTTCTACTTCCCCAGAACCTCTACTTTGTGAGGCAGGTGGCATTAAAATTCCTCCAGGGTTTCATTATTGCCAGACTTATCCTGAAAGGCATCCCTGTGACATCCAAGGTCAGGTTTAAGGATGGGTAATAGAAAAACAAAACGTGCCAATACCTACCGTAACGCCTGCCTTGCCAGGTGCGATTTATAGGCTGTGTCTGCATACGGGATCTCGTTCAGTCTCTGCAGCCCTCTCTGGTGAGGAAATCAAGGCCCAGAGAGGTTAAGTGACTTGACTGTATTCACCCTTCTGGGGACCTTGAGGTAGAGGGATGAACCTAGGCTACTGCCCAGGGGCCTCATAATGGAGAGATGTCGAGGAGAGGTTTGCATTTGAGAAAGACATCCAGGGAGTCTCTTTAGAGCCAGGAGAGCAAAGAAGATCCAGTGTGGGTTTCTGTTGATTGATACTAAAAATGTCTGAGAAAGGGAGAAAGAAGGAAGTAAAGAAAGACATGGACCCTGGGTTCTGAGTCACCAAGTATGATTTATTGAGCAAAAGATAGCCGATGTTTCTAGATCTGTAGGCCAGGTTTGATGCTGTCAGGTGAATCGCTTCTAATGAGCTAGGCTTTGACCTATTGGTTGGAATCTCAGTAGTTACTGCAGCCTGTCTGGGCCACTAGCATGAAGTTGTCACCTCTTGCTGCAGTGCAGCTTCCAGCTTATCTGTGGGCAGGTGGCCCTGAGTTTGAGAAGTGGTCCTGGGAAGGGGAGTGGGCCATTCCTAAGTCAGAAGCAGCCCACTCACCAAGTGTCTTCTGCTGCATTTAAAAATGAGCCGTCTGAGACTGCGTTACCATGTCCTTAAAATATTTAGTGAGTTCTCAAATAGAAAAATGTTCCAAGTGGTTCTTCAAAGACTTTTGACATTGTTCGGTTCTTTAAAAGTCAGCAGCCCCATGCTCAGGGCTACTTCTAGGCAAGAGATAACCACAAAATGATAATATGGAAATGAACATTTTATTAAAAAAAGGAAGGGGGAATTGGGAAAGAGAGTTGTCTAGGGAAGGCCTTTGAGAGTTGGGAGATTTTTATGAATTTGGAAGCTGTCAGATCCTGGGGTGACTGTGGCCTGCAGAAAGTCCTGCACTGTGCAAAGGGAAGTCTTGGAACCAGAGTGGTGGCCCAGGGGGTGGGCATGACGAGTGACCCTGAAATCCAACTCGATGAAGAAATGACACTCTTCCCTGCCTCATGGTGAATTGTGGACAGGTGACTTCCTCCCACACACTGCTCCAAGTTAGAGTTTTAGAAGCACTTTTTTTTTTTTTTTTTAAAACAAGAAGTGGAAACATCTGAGCCCTTTAGAACATGTAGCTACATGATTCCCAGCAGCTGCCATTTTGAGTAAAAACAAAAATAAAATTATTTGGCCATTTCAGCAGTAGAGCAATCTTCATTTCTGGCCTGCCTAGGAGTTGTCTGCATTTTCCTCTGGTACCTACATTCCTCACCAGGCACAGAACTTTCTAGAAAATGTGTAGCCACCAGATCAAGAAATAGGAAGCCCTTTGGAGCTACACAAGGCAATGAAAAGGAAAAAAGAGATTGGGGGAAGGGAGGTGGTCTATCTTGAAAACATGAGCAACAGAGCAGCTGTGAGCCATAAATCGATTAATTAGAGTGGCTGAAGCTGAGGTGAAGGGTACAGAAACGCTCTTTAATTTGAAGATCTATGACCTTGTAGGACGTGGCACTTCATTTGTGTTATTAGCTCCTGTGTCAGAAAGGGACATTTATTTATCTTCTTATTTATTACTTATTTATTCCACCAAGGTCCAAAAAAGGATGCAATGAGGAGTGTAAATGTGGCTTCTGGCCGGCTCTCCTGTGAGGCTGTCTGAGGAAAGGCTTTCTGCTCCCCAAGTACATTAGCTAATAAGCTGAGGACAGAAATGGGGCCTCTGAGGCAGCTGGGCGCGTTCTCCAGTAGCTGAGAGGATGCAGAAAGGAGGGCTGGGGTGTTGCTGGGGCCTTCCTGTGAGAACCGGCTGCCAGGGGCCTCAGGAAGGCACCCTTGCCCTGCCAAGGTCTCCAGTCAGGGGCTCCACGTGGGGAACTGGGAGAGGGGAATGACCCAGACACCCTGGAGGAATAAAATAGCCTTAGAAGTTCTCCTTCAAGTGTTTTTAAAAGCGAAGAGAGGCTGAACTTGCAGAATTCCTTTTTAATTTCTGTCCTGCCTACCTACTGCCTTTTCACCACAGAACACACAGACATAGAATGGGAGAATGATACGGTTTCTGTGGAATACTTGTAAGAGCTTGGCTTGGTTTCCAAGCGTGAGGGTCCTGGTCCAGTTGGGTCTGTGGTCCAGGCAGATCTCTGCCCTGTCCCTCGGGCAGCATGAAACCCTCTGTGACACTGCACACAGGGATGTCTTAGGGAGGTCCTGGGCCATAAAGGTTGACAAGCCTAACTTGGGAGAGAGGTACACACCACACTCAAGACTGACTTGGATGGAGTTCAGGGCACTTGGTTCCCAAGTCACTTGGTTTTTAAAAGATGGTTTCCAAATGGAGTTTTATGTGCCTATAAACACTGCTAAGGGTGCAGCCTTCCAGAAACATAATTAGTGGGTGGGAAATTCTCTGCACGGGATTTCAGAAGTCCTTAAATTGATTGGTGGAGTCTAAGAAGAGAATTGTTTTCTTCACTCCCTACCTCACATTACTGATACTGGGGATGTTAATTAATGTGCATGTCTGGCTTCACCAGGGAGTTTGCAGCTATTGTACTTTAATAGCTGCATCAAGATCTTCCAGGTACAGGAAAGTTTGGGGAAAGGGGGGGGGGGCATTTTGAGCTCACAAATGGCATGTCTTGCACAGAGTCTGAGGTGGGATTCCTGTTTCCCCTTAATGCAGTGGTTCTCAGCCTTCCTAATGTCACAGCCCTTTAATACAGTTCCTGTGGGTCGCCACCCACAGGTGGAGAACCGCTGCCTTAATGAGTCTGGTGACAGAAGACAAGGCCTGCCTGCACTGCCTCCTTTATGTAACATGTAGGAGAGGGTCAGGCTGGAAAGCACTGTCACCTGAAGTTCAAGGGGGGGCACTCATAAGATGGGTTCCACATGAAATGTTCAGCCTCCATTTTGTGACTACCCCACTGGTGGGCTAAGATTGTGACATTCTGGCTCCATGTCACAAGCGTCCCCTACAGTTTGCTGCTGTGTCACCAGAGCCAGTTTCTAGCAAAATCAGCACTTGCTGTTGTTCACCCTGGCTTCCCTGTCAGATTTGAGGACATTCTTTTATCCCTTAGTTTTCTGGCAAAGGACTTGAAAATACCCATTTGGGCCAGGTTTCCTCCTTCACTCCACCCCCACCCCATGGTCTTTGGAGGCAGAACAGTACACTGAGGTGTACTGTGTGTGAGGACATGGTGGGGGTCAGCTGTCACATGGTATTAGGCCTTCACAGTGTGTTATATTTCTCCTGCTCCTGAAAATGCATGTTCAGTTGAACACAGGTGTATGAAACTCTACAATTTAGCTAAAATCCCCAAAGATTGGAGATGGACCACAGCCATTTCCTTAAAGAAAGAAAAAATGTTTATAAGACAATACAGTTTGAGTTTGGGTAGCACTTCCTTGAATCAAATATTTTCTGAATCTAGTTCTCAAGGGGTAGGGGAGATTTTACCCCTTAGGGATCATTTGGCAGGATGTGGAGACACTTGGTTTTCACTGAGGAGAGGTTGCTTCTGCCATCTCCTAAGTGGAGGCCAGGGATGCTGACCATCCCATGGTGCACAGGAAAACTTTCCCCAGAATTATTGGGGTCTATAGTGCCTTGAACGAGAACTCCTTGTCTACTTGGTTTTCAGTGTGAAGAGAGCCCCGGGTAGGTGCCCTCTGCCCTGGCTACTTTTATGTAGTCCAGCCTGTGATGTATTAGTTCCTGCCGGATGCGGACATCCTCACAAACAGATCTCACTTGGCCTCAGGGACAAAAGGGAATCAGAACATCTTTTCTTTAGGGGAGCAAAGCGAGGCTTACAGAAGTGACATAACTTGCTGACATCCAGTTGGCAGCCCTGCAGCCGCGTGTTGGGGCACTGGGCCACGTCCCCACCATGCGTTTCCAGGCCGGTGGCCCCACGGTGCCTGCGCCCCTGCCGCTTCTCACGCTCTGCCTTTCTGTCCGTGTGTCTCCCCAGGTAAAGATGAGCCTTCCAGCTACATTTGCACAACATGCAAGCAGCCCTTCAACAGCGCGTGGTTCCTGCTGCAGCACGCGCAGAACACGCATGGCTTCCGCATCTACCTGGAGCCCGGGCCGGCCAGCAGCTCGCTCACACCGCGGCTCACCATCCCGCCGCCACTCGGGCCTGAGGCCGTGGCGCAGTCCCCGCTCATGAATTTCCTGGGCGACAGCAACCCCTTCAACCTGCTGCGCATGACGGGCCCCATCCTACGCGACCACCCGGGCTTCGGCGAGGGCCGCCTGCCTGGTACGCCGCCACTCTTCAGCCCACCGCCACGCCACCACCTGGACCCGCACCGCCTCAGTGCGGAGGAGATGGGGCTCGTCGCCCAGCACCCCAGTGCCTTTGACCGAGTCATGCGCCTGAATCCCATGGCCATCGACTCTCCCGCCATGGACTTCTCGCGGCGGCTCCGCGAGCTGGCGGGCAATAGCTCCACACCGCCGCCCGTGTCGCCGGGCCGCGGCAACCCTATGCACCGGCTCCTGAACCCCTTCCAGCCCAGCCCCAAGTCCCCGTTCCTGAGCACGCCACCGCTGCCGCCCATGCCTCCCGGTGGCACGCCACCACCGCAGCCGCCGGCCAAGAGCAAGTCGTGTGAGTTCTGCGGCAAGACCTTCAAGTTCCAGAGCAATCTCATCGTGCACCGGCGCAGCCACACGGGCGAGAAGCCCTACAAGTGCCAGCTGTGCGACCATGCGTGCTCGCAGGCGAGCAAGCTCAAGCGCCACATGAAGACACACATGCACAAGGCCGGCTCCCTGGCCGGCCGCTCTGATGACGGGCTCTCGGCTGCCAGCTCCCCGGAGCCTGGCACCAGCGAGCTGACCGGCGAGGGCCTCAAGGCAGCTGACGGCGACTTCCGCCACCACGAGAGCGACCCGTCGCTGGGCCACGAGCCCGAGGAGGAGGACGAGGAGGAGGAGGAGGAGGAGGAGGAGCTGCTACTTGAGAATGAGAGCCGACCCGAGTCGAGCTTTAGCATGGACTCGGAGCTGAGCCGCAACCGCGAGAACGGTGGCGGCGGGGTGCCGGGGGTGCCCGGAGCTGGGGGCGGCGTGGGCGGTGCTGCCAAGGCTCTGGCTGATGAGAAGGCCCTTGTGCTGGGCAAGGTCATGGAGAACGTGGGCCTGGGCGCGCTGCCTCAGTACGGCGACCTGCTGGCTGACAAGCAGAAGCGCGGCGCCTTCCTGAAGCGCGGGGCGGGCGGCGGTGATGCTGGCGACGACGACGACGCAGGAGGCTGTGGCGACACAGGTACGGGTGGCGCAGTAAACGGGCGCGGCGGTGGCTTCGCGCCAGGCGCCGAGCCCTTCCCAGGTCTCTTCCCGCGCAAGCCGGCGCCGCTACCCAGCCCTGGGCTCAACAGCGCGGCCAAGCGCATCAAGGTGGAGAAGGACCTGGAGCTGCCGCCCGCTGCGCTCATCCCATCCGAGAACGTGTATTCACAGTGGCTCGTGGGCTACGCGGCGTCACGGCACTTCATGAAGGACCCCTTCCTGGGCTTCACGGACGCGCGCCAGTCGCCCTTCGCCACATCGTCCGAGCACTCATCCGAGAACGGCAGCCTGCGCTTCTCCACACCGCCTGGTGACCTGCTGGACGGCGGTCTGTCGGGCCGCAGCGGTACGGCCAGCGGGGGCAGCACGCCGCACCTGGGTGGCCCGGGCCCGGGGCGGCCCAGCTCCAAGGAGGGTCGCCGCAGCGACACGTGTGAGTACTGCGGCAAGGTGTTCAAGAACTGCAGCAACCTGACGGTGCACCGGCGGAGCCACACCGGCGAGCGGCCTTACAAGTGCGAGCTGTGCAACTACGCGTGCGCGCAGAGCAGCAAGCTCACGCGCCACATGAAGACGCACGGGCAGATCGGCAAGGAGGTGTACCGCTGCGACATCTGCCAGATGCCCTTCAGCGTCTACAGCACCCTGGAGAAACACATGAAAAAGTGGCATGGCGAGCACTTGCTGACTAACGATGTCAAAATCGAGCAGGCCGAGAGGAGCTAAGCGTGCGGGCTGGGCACCCACATCTGTACAGTGGAACCGTTGCCAACCGAGAGAATGCTGACCTGACTTGCCTCTGTGTCACCGCCACTTAGCACCCCGCGTGTCCCCGGGGCCCAGGGGAGGCGGCACTCCAACGTAACCTGTGTCTGCGAAGTCCTATGGAAACCCGAGGGTTGATTAAGGCAGTAAAAATTGTGGAGCCTTTTAACTGTGCAATAATTTCTGTATTTATTGGGTTTTGTAATTTTTTTGGCATGTGCAGGTACTTTTTATTATTATTCTTTCTGTTTAAATTCCTTTAAAAGATTTTGTTGGGTATCCATCCCTTCTTCATTTTTTTAAAACCCAGTAGTAGCCTGAGCAAATGACTGGCGAGCAATGTAGAGGGGAAGCATATCTTCTTTTAAATTATAATTTGGGGGAGGGTGGGGCGGGCGCTGCTTTTTTTGAAATTTAAGCTAAGCATGTGTAATTTCTTGTGAAGAAGCCAACACTTAAACGACTTTTAAAGTTGTTTACTTTTTTATTCCTACTTTTTTTTTGGTCCTGAAATAAAAAGTGGCATGCGGTTTTTTTTGTTTTGTTTTGTTCTGTTCTGTTTTGTTTTGGGGGTGGGGGATTGGATGTACAGCGATAACAATCTTTAAAGTTGTAGCACTTTGTTTCAGCATTGGAGTGGAGATGTAGCACTGATGATGTCCTGAGTCATAGAGGCCTTTTCTGTGTTGAATTCATCTTTCATATTGCATAAGGAAAACTTTTAGTGGTGATGTTGGGGTGGGCACCCCACAAACTCAGTGCCACCAGAGAAACAGTTTTTGAGGGCTACTCTGGAAAATGGCCCCAAAGCATCCTGCAGTCGTGCATTACCAGCAGAAATTATCATTTTCTTGGAATGTTGGTATGCCCTGGGATGCTGTCTTTGCTATTTGCTGTAGATTAGGCTGAATAAAATGGGCCGAGGTTACTGTTTTGGGTAGATGGGGTGGCTTGCAGTGACACAGAAAGGAAGAAAGGAACAGTGTTCTCTCAGGCTTCTTCTGGCTTGGCAGCTTCTCTCTTTTTATCACCCCTACCACATAAATCTCAAGTCCTATGTTGCTACAAGTGGTAACTGATCACTTCTTAAGCAGACAAATGCCCTGATGGTGAATTGAGGAAGTTAGTGTTTTCTCACTGATGCACACTGATGACATTGTAGGGATGGGAGGAATTTTGTGAATTTCTGTTTCTTTTATTGGATGAGCAGGGAAAGAGTTCCATTTGAAGGTGCCCAGCGCTACTTACTAAGTAATTTTTTTTTCTATCTCATTAGGTTGGAAGGTTACTAAATATCAAACTGTTAAGATTAGACATTTGAATTCTGTTAACCCGCACTTTAAAGCTTTTGTTTGCATTTAAATTAAATGGCTTCTAAACAAGAAATTGCAGCATATTCTTCTCTTTGGCCCAGAGGTGGGTTAAACTGTAAGGGACAGCTGAGATTGAGTGTCAGTGTTGCTAAGCGTGGCATTCACAATACTGGCACTATAAAGAACAAAATAGTAATTTATAGGACAGTTTTTCTACTGCCATTCAATTTGATGTGAGTGCCTTGAAAACTGATCTTCCTATTTGAGTCTCTTGAGACAAATGCAAAACTTTTTGTTTTAAAATGAAAAGACTTTTTAAAAAAGTAAAACAAGAAAAGTACATTCTTTAGAAACTAACAAAGCCACATTTACTTTAAGTAAAAAAGAAAAAAAAATCCTGGTTGAAGATAGAGGATATGAAAATGCCATAAGACCCAATCAAATGAAGAAATAAACCCAGCACAACCTTGGACATCCATTAGCTGAATTATCCTCAGCCCCTTTTGTTTTTGGGACAACGCTGCTTAGATATGGAGTGGAGGTGATTTACTGCTGAATTAAAACTCAAGTGACACAAGTTACAAGTTGATATCGTTGAATGAAAAACAAAACAAAAGCAATTCAGGAACAACGGCTAATTTTTTCTAAAGTTAAATTTAGTGCACTCTGTCTTAAAAATACGTTTACAGTATTGGATACATACAAGGGTAAAAAAAAATTGTGTGTATGTGTGTTGGAGCGATCATTTTTTTTCAAAGTTTGCTTAATAGGTTATACAAAAATGCCACAGTGGCTGCGTGTATATTGTTTTCTTTTGGTGACGGGGTTTTAGTATATATTATATATATTAAAATTTCTTGATTACTGTAAAAGTGGACCAGTATTTGTAATAATCGAGAATGCCTGGGCATTTTACAAAACAAGAAAAAAAAAAAAAACCCTTTTCTTTTCCTTGAAAATGTTGCAGTAAAATTTAAATGGTGGGTCTATAAATTTGTTCTTGTCACAGTAACTGTAAAGTCGGAGTTTTAGTAAATTTTTTTCTGCCTTGGGTGTTGAATTTTTATTTGAAAAAAATGTATAGAAACTTGTATTTGGGGATTAAAAGGGGATTGCTACACCATGTAGAAAAAGTATGTAGAAAAAAAAAGTGCTTAATATTGTTATTGCTTTGCAGAAAAAAAAATCACATTTCTGACCTGTACTTATTTTTCTCTTCCCACTTCCCTCTGGAATGGATATTATTGGTTGGTTCATATGATGTAGGCACTTGCTGTATTTTTACTGGAGCTTGTAATTTTTTAACTGTAAGCTTGTCCTTTTAAAGGGATTTAATGTACCTTTTTGTTAGTGAATTTGGAAATAAAAAGAAAAAAAAAAACAAAAACAAACAGGCTGCCATAATATATTTTTTTAATTTGGCAGGATAAAATATTGCAAAAAAAAAAAATTTGTATGTTAAGTCCTATTGTACAGGAGAAAAAGGGTTGTTTGACAACCTTTGAGAAACAGAAACAAAAGAAAGTAGTTAAATGCTTTGGTTCACAAATCATTTTAGTTGTATATATTTTTGTCGGAATTGGCCTACACAAAGAACCCTTCGCGTTGGGCTTCACTCTGAATGCCCCAAACCTTGCATCAAGGCTCCTTGGTGTGGCCACAGCAGACCGGATGGGAAATTCTTTATTCATGTTGAGTGGAAAAAATGAGTTTTTGTAAAGATGTCAGTCACATTCCACAGAGTCCTCCCTTTCTGTAAGAGGCCATCTGTAAGATGTCCGATGTAGTGAAGAGAGAGCAAGAGAGCATCTTCCTTCTCTGCCATCACTGTGGTGGCAGTCACCACCACCGCCACCCCTTCTCCTGCCCCTAAGAGCAGAAAGTAATGTAAAGTGGGCTTCTTCAGTCCTTGAGAAAGAAAACATTAAAGGAATAAAAATGTGATAGAAGGAGCTGGTGATACCAGCTCGGTACAGGCGAAGTGACCTGCCACTGAGAGCGGTGGAAATTGGATTTCAGGAAGGAGAGCCCATCTGGACTAGGACCTTCTGTGCCATGGAGAGTGTTGGCCTCTTGTTTTCTTCCCTGCTTTGCCGCTTTGCTCTCCAAAACCTACATTCCGTCAGTTTTTGAATGCGAGGGCCTGGGATGAATTTGGTGCCTTTCCATATCTTTTTCTCTCTCCTTTGCATTTCCTCTCCAACTTCTATCCTCTGTCCTTTATTCATTTTCTTAAATTTTAATTTCTTTTCTTTCTCCCTCTCTATCCTTTCCCTTCCTCCCTTCTGTCTCTCTCTCTCTCTCTTTTTTTTTTGTAAAGCCAAGTAGCTTTAAGATAAAGTGGTGGTTTTTTGGACAAGGGAATAATACATTTTTTAAAAAATACCTATATCAGGAAAGCCATCTTTTTATTTCAGGAAATGTAAGAAACCATTATTTCAGGTTATGAAAGTATAACCAAGCATCCTTTGGGGCAATTCTTTACCAAACGCAGAAATCTTTCTTCTGGGAGCTTTTCTGTTCCATGTGATCTTTCCTCCTTGCCACTTACCTTTGCAAAGTTAAAATAAAGGGGGAGGGAATGGGGAATGGGAGATAAAGCTGAGATTTCAGTTTCCTACTGCTTGACCTAAAGACCCAGGGGCTGCCCTTCCTTTTGCATGCCCTGTTAAGGTCCTCAAGAGCCTCCTGTAATCATAAAAGCTAGCCAGCGCTCACCAGCTTACACAAAGTCACCAGAATGCCAGGACTAAGCCATCCTAAAGCACAAGGATTGTGTGTCTCTGTCACCTGCAGAGAACAGGGAATTTTATTTCTCTTTTGTGTTTAAAAAACCACCACCGAAGCAGATGGCCCAGTGAGAGAGGCCTCTAGCATGGGTGACCCAGCCGACCTCAGGCCGGTTTCCACACTGCCACAACTTTGTTCAAAGTTGCCCCAAATTGGAACCCGCCACTTGCCATGAGAGGGTCTTTCATGAGGAGAAGAGGAGACTGAATTACTCTAAGCAAAATGTGAAACGTAAGGAAATTAGCCTTTCATCCCGGTCCTAAGTAACTGTCAGTTGAAGGTTTTGTTGAACACAGGCAAACCCGTGATTTTGGTGCTCTTTGTATCTTAGCCCTGCAAAGCAAAGTTACATTGATTTAAGTTGTTTGCATTTGTACTGGCAAGGCGAAATATTTTTATTACCTTTTCTATTATTGTATGAGCTTTTGTTGTTTACTTGGAGGTTTTGTCTTTTACTACAAGTTTGGAACTATTTATTATTGCTTGGTATTTGTGCTCTGTTTAAGAAACAGGCACTTTTTTTTTTTATTATGGATAAAATGTTGAGATGACAGGAGGTCATTTCAATATGGCTTAGTAAAATATTTATTGTTCCTTTTATTCTCTGTACAAGATTTTGGGCCTCTTTTTTTCCTTAATGTCACAATGTTGAGTTCCGCATGTGTCTGCCATTTCATTTGTACGCTTGTTCAAAACCAAGTTTGTTCTGGTTTCAAGTTATAAAAATAAATTGGACATTTAACTTGATCTCCAAACCTTGTCCTTTTCTGTGTCTTTTAAAGGTGGGGGACAGGCAGCTTATTTCTAAGGGTGAATTGAAGGTCTTTCTCCATTTCCTTCCTCACCCAAACCCTTAAGCCCACATTGGGGAAGAAGAGAGGAAATAATAGAATGAGAGAACAGCAGTTTTCTTTACCCTTATGGAGCAGTGTGATTTAGAACAGTGGTTCTCAGCCCTGGTTGCACATTGGAATCTCCTGGGAGCTTTCAAAAATCTCAGTGCCTAAGCCACAACCCCAGACCAATTCTATCAGAATCTTAGGAGGTAGGGCCTGGCATTAGCATTTTTTAAATGATCCAGCTGATTCTCCTATCCTAGCTAAGTTTCAGAATGAGTGGTTTAAAAGAAAAAGCACTTGGATAGGAATTACCAGACTGCTTTACTAGTCTAGTGTAACTCAGCTAACGTTTCCTTAATACCTAGCAAGAGCCACAGGGAGACTGAGGGGTCAAAATTCAGTGAGAAGGAGGCTCAGCTCCAAGGGTGTAAATGATTGACCCCTTGGGCAAGTCCCCTTGGTTTTCTCATTTATAAAAGGAGGTTGTTGGGCTAGATAGCCTCTCTGACCATCCATGAATTTTAACACAATCACAAAGAAGGACTTCCTTCTATTCTTGTGTGCTAGATGTTAACAGATTGGAAGAAATTTTTTTCTGGGATAGTCAATGTCTGTACTTGGCTCTTCCCAGTGCTGGGCCTGGGAGTGGAAGAAGGTAGGACTCTGTTGGGTTCTAGCCGGTGAAGCAGGAAGGTACTAGTGGTTTTCTCCGTGTGAGCAAGAGGCAGAATGAGAGGCAGCCCCTGAATGTCAAGGAATCCAGGATCCACTGGAGTTTGGCCCACTCTCTTCCTACATTTCTTGCTCTTTAAGGGACAAAGATCATTCCACTCAAAACACTCTTGCAAACTCTCACTGGGCATTGGCCATGAAGCAGGTGCTAAGCTAGGCAGGCCAACAGTCTTCAGAAGGAAACTTTGCAAGAATGAAAATACCAAGCCAAGCTAGCTAAGTCCTTTGTGGGTTCTGCCCACAGAAAGAATAAAAGACACAAGAGTAGCATGTTCCAGTATGTCCTGTCTTCACCCAAGCAAGCCACTATGCTCCCACTATGCTCTCATCACCAGACAAAAAGTGGAGTTTTAACTCCAGCACCAAAAATGGGGGTGACAGTCATTCAGGAGACTTGCCTGGTTCCTAGGGGCTTAAGGAATTAGAATTCCCAAAGGGGAAATTCTCTTTCTCTTTTCTATATTTGTGAGTCTTTGTGTTTCTTTCTCACCTAGAAGTCTGTGTAGACAGCCGAACTGACACGGTCAGTTACTTTCTGGTTGGAATACAGAAGGATGTGCTCATTTGGGGAATGTTCTTCATTTTAGGGATGAGAACAAAGTCCTGGTCTGAGTACCAGAAATTGCTTGGGATGAGTGAGTGAATACTAATGAGTATCTGTCCTTCACTCTTACGGCCTGGTCACATTTGGGGATTAGCAGTGGAGCAAAGGAAAGGCTCGATTCAGTTCTCACCATTGTCCCATCAGTAACCAGCTCTGTGACCTTGAGTCAGTTCCTTCCCTTTTCTGGAGGGAGGGTTAAGGTATCCCAGAAGGAATCATTCTGCATTCAAAATGATGAACCCTGATGAGGGTGCTGGGTGTGCCCAGAGTAACAGGGTTTGATGGGAAGGTTAAAGTTGGAAATGTTCCCTCTTTAGGTTACAAAAATCAGAGTGTGAATGGGTTCTCAAGAACAGAAAATCCCATGTTTTGCTGTTTGTCACTCAGAATCTTCAGCCACTTGGCAAGTCACAGGTCTCCACGTTTTCCAAGCAATCCTAATTGTGGCTTGGGGCATCCCAGCAGGCTGTGGAACACCTCACTCTTGAACTGTAGGTCCAGCAATTAAGACTAGAAAACATCCCTTTCTGCTCTGGAGATAAAAGTAGATGAATAGGACTTGGTGGTTTTCTTTTTTAATGTTAATGTGATGGAAATATTTAATGAGTCCTATGTAACTTTCAAGTCCGAGAGGATAAAGATTCTGACTTTCTTGTGTGCAGGTAAAGCCTTAGTCACTAATTACCTGCCCTGAATAATCTTCAAAACAATTTTATAGGATACTGGTTACAGACCATCTAAAATGCCCTAAATAATTCAAAATATAACAGGTTGTGCTCAGAAGTCAATTTAATACCCAAAGCAAAGACTGAGCCAGATGCCAGGAATGGGCATATAGGAGGTCTTTGGCCTGGTCTTTGCCCTGAGGAGGCTCTATTTATGGAGGGAGATGCTGTGAAGCAAGAACAGAGTCATATGCGCTGTGAGAGAGGCCAGGAAGAGGGAGCATGAGCAAAATCATGCTGCTTCTAGAATGATGAGTGAAGATTTGCCAGGAGGATGAGGAGTAGTAAGGGAGCACGTGGATGTGACACCAGAAAGTGCACTGAGGTTGGAGAAGCCTTGTCAAGTCCTTGGAGATAGAGAATCCTAGAGTTGACTGGCACTTTAAAATTTTTTTATATTTATTTATTTATTTAATCATTTCTCAAACCCTAAACACATCTACCTATTTATCCATCCATCCCTCCACAAGGATGTTAATTTCATAAACATTTATCAAAGGCCTATGCTCTGTCACAGACCTTGCTGGGAAGCTAGAGGAAAATGAGACTTGCCTCTGCCTTTCAGGAGTTGACCTTTCAGTGGTCAGGACGGGAAGCCATCTGTCTGTCCATTCACTGAGTCCCTAAGCCCCCTGGGGTTCTTCCTGAGTGCCCCACCCTCCCAGGCCTGGGGATACAGTCTCTCTTGAGCAGCTGGGTAGGTTGTGAGTGAACAGAATACCTGGGCTCAGTCTTTGGGCAGGAGCAAGGGCCCAGCTGGAGGCTGGAGGAAAACATCCATGTCCTTCCTTACAGAGGAGGAAACCCAGTCCTTGCTCCATTGTGCACTGCCACAGCCCAAACTGCTTCCCTGTACTGTGGTTTATTCCTCCCAGACCATAAAGAAGATGAATTGCGTTTCTGGGATCTTTTATGTTAAAACAAATCAAGAATAAAAAATGTCCAGTTTAGGACACATCCCAGGATGTGAGCCCAGGATCCTGCCTAGAGGATGCGAGTGGTCCTTTACCTGTCAAAATGCCAAGACATAAAAGTGATGCTGGTATCTCACTCCTGAGCCAGGCCCTGTAAGGCTTTTTGGGCTGAAAATGCACTGCAGGCTGCAGTTTGCAAAGGTGAGCCGGCTCTCAGCAAAACAAGGAGCTACTGAGGGTAGAAAGTGCCTTCTTCTCATCTTGTCTTTTCCTAGTCCTTCTTCCTCCTTCCTATCGGCAAGATTGTCCTTAGTATCCACTCCAAGTCCTATTGGTGGAAGCAATTGTGCGGTGCCAATGGGTTGGTAAATTAAGGAAAAAATTAAGAGGTAGACCACAGGTGACATCCCTGATCCCCAACCACCTTTGGCACTCGGCACGACTCAGCCCTTTCGCCTGTGTGGAAAGTATAATTGAAGGTTCAGTTTTGTTACCTGTTTAATGTTTCGACCACATTTCCCTCTTCCCTTTGGGAATCTCTGGGGCATTGTGAATCAAGGGTCCAAATGATATGCTGACTATTTGAACTGGTGATGTCATTACTGGAATCTATACTAAGTATGCTAACTAATTAGTGATCCTAGGAAAGGAAGAGCTGTGTGCCTATAGTTGGTCACTTCAGCATTTTCTGAACTACTTTATTAATAATTTGCATTCTTTCTCATTCCTCAAGATTCTGAGCAAACCAATAAGGAACTTCATATGATATAAAGAAGGAGTGCAATCTCAGGATCGGAGAGATTAAAAGAGTAAGATGTAGACACTTAGATAAAAAATATAGACTAGAGAAGGCCATACATTGCTATGTCTAGGTCATAAATTTGAATCTAGGCTTCTCAGTATCCAAAGGGGGAAAGAAACAGACACACTGCGTATTATTCACACAGGGAAAACATGCCACAGAATGACATGCAGAACAGAAAAATTTTGGAAGCAGCCTCTGTGTTCAACGATAGACAAGTAAATGAGTGAAGAAGAGCTTACTCATTATGGAATATTTACATTTATCTAAAATGAGGGTGTTGAAGACTTTGATGGCAACAGGGAAACTATACGTGAGATAAGGTTAACTCTTAAAAGAATAGAAGATGTTCATACCCTATGATTTCAAATTATCTAGCTAAATGTGTATGTGGACATGAACACATATCAGATGCAGATGCTTAGGGAAACTATCTCCAGAAAGGTCTTCCTCCTACCTGGTCCAAATTTTCAGGAAGTTAGTCTTTGTCTTTTCAATTGGAGATGAAATTCAAGTGAATGACGTGAGCCAGATGGGCTCTCTCAAATGTCTCGCCAGAACCTGTCACCTCTTGGAGCCATTTGCTCTGGCCAATGATGACTTTCCAAGGTCCATAAAGGTCTATCTGCACAGAATCACCCCTGGACAATGAAGAAATACCTTACTTACCTCATGACCTAGCACTAACAGCAAAAGAAGCCATTTTATCTTTTGTTTTGTCTCTGAAATAATTTGTTCTAGAAAATCATCCTAAGGAGGCTGTAATTCAACAAAAGATTGAGCCGCAGAGATGTTCACTGTAGCTGTATTTAGAACAGCAAAAGCTAGAGATAAAAAAGATGCCTAGCAACATAGGATTAAATAAGCAAGTCACAGAGTATGGATGCTATGGAATATTAGGTAGTTATCAAAAATAATGTTGCTGGAACAAATTAAATGACATTGAAGAGCTGCTTATGATGGAACATTATGTTTCAAAACAAGCATGATACAGGGTCTGTTAGGCCCTTGGATCTCATGAAGACACATATGAATCAAGTGCAGGGGAAGGATAGTGGAAACTGTTGATAGCGGAAACTGCTGGTGATAGCATCGCAAGACCCATTGGGCTACATGAGGACCAACTGTCATAACAGGAG